AGAGAGAGAGAGAGAGAGAGAGAGAGAAAGCAAGCAAGCTCTGCGATCCCTCCAAAGCAAGGTCTCAATCTTGTATTAGTCCCGTGGAAATGGAGTTTGGGGATTCTTGGCCCATTTGAGAGTGCCGCACTGGTCTCTCATAATCCATATCTTCATGAACTTTCCCCTCTCTGTCACCTGTGGGTTTCTGCTGGGTTTGTGTCCCTGCATGCAGCAAGAGTTCCCCCTGGGGATCTATGCTAGCAGTGGAGAGGGATCTGTGGGTTTACTTGACTTTCTTGCATTTCTAGGAGAACCTGTCAGAGATCCGTCAGGAGAATGTCAAGTTAACACTCAATCAGCAGCTGACTCGCTTCTCTGCCCACGTGGCAGGCTGGGTTGTCTCTACTGGAGTGGCCGTCGCCTGCTGCGTAGCTGTTTATTACCTGGCCGAGTACAACTCAGAGGTAACCAGAGAGGCGGGAACACCAGGGTCGGGAGCAAAGAGAACCAAGTGAAGGGATGGGATGCTGAGGGGGAGAGTGATGTAGAGCCCACCAGGTTTTGTGGCCAGTAGCATGAGCACCAGCAGGAAGCTTCTTAAAAAAAAAAAAACACAGAATCTCCCCTGCCCATGAACTCAGAAGCTTCTTAGCAAAATCCCCAGATGATGCATATACATACTACAAGTAAGATGTTCTGGGCTAGTGGAGAGATGGGAATTTTGGCTATAAACCTAGGATCAAGCTCTCATTTCTTCCTTTTTTTTGGAGACAGAGTCTCACTTTGTCATCCTTGGTAGAGTACCGTGGCATGATAACTCACAGCAACCTCAAACTCTTGGGCTTAGTCGATTCCCTTGCCTCAGCCTTCCAAGTAGCTGGGACTACAGGCACCCAACACAATGTCCAGCTATTTTTAGAGATGAGGTCTTGCTCTGGCTCAGGCTGGTCTCAAACCTGTGAGCTCAGGCAATCCACCTGCCTCAGCCTCCCAGAGTGCTGGGATTACAGGTGAGCCACTGCACTCGGCCCTCATTTCTTCCTTTGTTATTGTATCCCTAATACCTCCCACAGTACCTGGCACATACCGTGAACTGATGGGTTCTGGCAAATGATTTAATCTTTCCAAGGCTGGGTTCTTTATCTGTAAAATGAATGTGACTCTACCTGACTTTTGGCATGTGGTAAGGACTAGAAATAAATTACATGGTGAGTCTACCCAGTACTTGGTACCATGTGGGATAAAGAAATGATTTGGGGCCAGGGACAGTGGCTCATACCTATAATCCCAGCATGTTGGGAGGTTAAGGAAGGAGGATTGCTTGAGGTCAGGAGTTCAAGACCAGCCTAAGCAAGACCCCGTCTCTACAAAAAAATAGAAAAATCATCCAGACACGTGGTATGCACCTGTATTCCCAGCTGCTTGGGAGGCTGAGGCAGGATGATCACTTGCGCCCAGGAGTTTGAGGTTGCTGTGAGTTGTGACGCCATGGCACTGCACTCTAGCCCAGGTGATGAGTAAGACCTTGTCTCAAAAGAAAAAAAACCCAGAAATTATTTGGGTTCTGAGATTAGTTAGCTGGGTGACCTGGGCAAAGTAGTTTTTCTATAGGTTCCAGCTTTCTCCTCTGGAACATGGGGCCAATTGTATCCAATTTGCCCACCTATGGAACTGTGGTGCAGGTTGGTCTGATTACATCATTTTCTTTAATAGCTACCCATTACCCTCAATATAAAATCTGCCCTCCGTGGCATACGTGAAAAATCTTTTATAATCTGACTCCTGCACATATCTCTAGCCTCAACACCCCATAACTACCCATAACCCTCACCAACAATACTAAACGGGTGTCCATAGTTCCATAAACACACTGTGTATATCCTCGTCTGTGGGTGAGAAACATGCGGTTCATTGTCCACCCCCTACGTCCTTTCATCGGGCAAACTCCTTAGCATGAGTGTCACTCCTCCAGGAAGCCTTCTCTCACCTCCACCACCACGCCCTGCACTGGGCCAAGAGGGGTGTTTCTGTTTCCCCTGTGCTCTTATCACGAGTGCACTGAAAATGCTTAGGTGTGTCTGTTTCTTCCTGGCACCTGGCCCAGCACATTGTGCATAGCAGGTGCTCAACTAAATGGATGAATAAGTGAGAAGCCTGCAAAAGGATGGGTGTGTGATTATACAAACTTCAGGGTTTGCCATAGTTGGAATAAGGTCTGTCCTGAAAGAGGAGAAATTGAATCTCAGTCTTCAGAGACCGGGCATAGCTTACGTATGGATGTAAGTGGGGACTAGGTAGTTGCAGTTTAAAGCAGGCTTATAAGCTCCGTTTCTGCTCACCTGAGATGAAAGGGGGGCAGCCCAGGACAAGAGGTGGGAGTGGAATTGTTTCCTCTGTTTGAACATCTGCTCTGTGCAAGATGTTCTCTTGCACAACTCTGGTGTTCACCAATGAATGGTGACCGTGATTCCCTGTGACTCACCCCAGCTGCGCCATTTAGCAGCCGTGGAGCCAGATCTTGCCTTGTTTAATCTCACTTAATTCTTGCAATATCTGTATGGCTTGGGTGGTCACCTCTCCATCTTACAGGTGGGGCTCAGAGAAGCTAACTGTCTAGCCCTAGATGTTGCAGTTTGTAAGTGTGTGTGGTGGGGGTGCAACAATATTTGAACCAAAGTTACCCTGGCTCCAAAGATACCACCAAAAGTTCAAGGAATGCTTTGGAACCACCTAGAGGTAGATGGAGGCAGGATCAGGCCTGAAGGGAGGAGGTAGGAGTGCAAAGGATCCAATAAATCCATTGGAATCCCTTGCCCCAAGACCTCGGGCCCTACTCCAAGCCAAACGCCAGGGTGCCGCATCCCCTGGAGGTGCGGTGCCCTCCTGCCCTCACACAAAGGTGCAGTGTGGGCTGGCACAGGACCCACATCCCCCAGTGCAGTACTCAAGGACAAGTGAGGCCTGGTGGACATGAACAAGGCCGCAGGGAGAGGGGAGCTGTTCTGTGGCGATTGGTAGTATCCCTAGTGCTGTGGCTTCAGCAGACTCCGTTTATGCTCCAACAGTGAGACAGCGTCTCATTGCTCCAGGCTTTTAGTATAGAAAACAAAGTCACAGAATGACTGTTTGAGCTCAGGCTTTTAGCTCAGACATGCTTTCATTCCTATCTGCCACTTCCTTGCTAGGTCACCCTGAGCAAGCATCTTTGCCTCTCTGAGTCTTAGTTTGTTTGGAACCGGTTAAGTGTTAAATGCACGGTAGCTTGATAGTTCACCACAGAGGAGCTCCTTCTAGTGTTTTCCATCAAAAGGGCCTTCTGAGTGAGGTAGAGAGAGGTCCAGTGTACAGAGGGCATCTCAGTTCTCTCCTCCCCCGTTGCAGTTCCTGAGGACCCACAGGAACCCCGGGGCAGTGCTGTTGCTGCCTTTTGTCGTGTCCTGCATCAACCTGGTGGTGCCGCGCCTCTATTCCATGTTCAGGCTGGTGGAGAGGTACGAGATGCCCCGGCATGAAGTCTACATCCTCCTGATCCGGTAGGTGATCTGTCAGAGGGCAGTGGGTGGGAGCTGTGAAAGGTTACTCTCCAGCATCAGAGCTCTGCTCTCCACAAAGAAGGAATTTCAAGAGTAGAGTGTGTTTGGTGTGATGTGGGCTAATGACCATAAAATATGAGATGCTCTGAGAAAATACAGTTATTAAATACAAATGCCTTTTGCTCAAAGTAACAGCTTCCCTTTCTCAGTGGCCGCCAGCCTGAATATTAATGTAGTTCTCATGGACGAGATGTACAGACAGGCAAGCTGTGCACTGCCCAACGGTTCCTGGATAAGGACTTGTGTGGGGACAGAAACCATCTAGTGTCCCCTTAGTCAAACTGCGTATCCATACCCATTGCATCAGATGGGAAAAAGAGGTGTATTTTTGTAATTCAGCCACTGAAAGAGGGGTGGGAGGAGTGCTTTTGGCAATTCATCGGCTCAGATGGGGTGTCTTTTTATGACTCCCACAAAGGCATCATATGTGCTAGGGTGACCCCAGGTCTTTGATAAACAAAGCCTAAAACTACTCATATTTTATTTTTCTAGCTTCTTCCTGGCTAGGTCTCTGACTAGTTCCTGGTTATGGTGGCATTTATAACACTAGGTCTGTACAATGCAGATTGAATTTCTTTCTTTTCTCTTCTTTCTTTCTTTTTTGGAGACAGTCTCTCTATGTTGCCCTTAGTAGACTGCTGTGGCGTCACAGCTCATAGCAACCTCAAACTCTTGGGCTTGAGTGATGCTCTTGTCTCAGCTTCCCAAGTAGCTGGAACCATAGGTGCCCGCCACAATGCCTGGCTATTTATTGTTGCAGTTGTCCTTATTGTTCAGCTGGCCCAGGCTGGGTTCAAACCTGCCAACTTTGGTATATGTGGCTGGCAGTGGAACCACTGTGCCACGGGCGCCGAGCCCAGATTAAATTTCTTTACAGATCAATTCCAGAGCCCTGGACTTACTATGGCCTCAAGATCTGGCTCCCGGCCAGTTCTTCAGCCTCATTTTCTACTCTGCTCCCTCACTGACCTCCTAAGTGCTCACAAACACTGGCCCCACCACTGGGCCTTTGCACTGGCTGTTCCTTCTGCCATGAATGCTCTTCCAGCAGATAGGACTTACTTCCTGACTTCATTTTGGCTCCTGCTTTACAGTCACATCCCAAAGGGGAAGGGGAACTCAGGTACTGACCCCACTGATATTTTGTATATTTGTTTATGCAGGACAACAGAACATACAAAAGCAAAACATTGTTGGGGTCAGTCTATGACACTCCGTTTTGGGGATGGGTGACGTCACCTTCTTGGAAAGCTCTTCCTTAAGTACCCCATGAAAAACAACAGCTCTTAAATCTTCCATTCAGGTGATTAGAAAGAATACTACAATAAATAATACAAATAAATAAAATAAAATAATAATAAAATAAGTAAATAATAAAATAAATAAATAAAATAAAAATAACAGCTCCATCCTGCCCTCCTCTCCTACATTACCATTTTCTTACCACCCCCTGACATTTTTGTATCTATTTATATATTACCTTTCTCCCCCATGAATTATGCGGGAATCTTTGCCTTTTTCAAAGTGCCTGGGAATAGGTGCTCAAGAATAATTGGTGAACAAATGAATAAGGAAATCAGTTAGCCAACCAATTAGTCGATTATATCTGAATTCTATACCATCATTATTCCTCACATCCCACCCACCAGTCCAGGGCATCACTTTTTTTAGGTATGTGCAATGAGGGACACATTAGGTCTCACTGGCACCCCATAATCTTGCATATTGGGCAAGGAGGACATAAAATATCATCAGTTTGATGATAGAGTTGTTAAGATTTTTTTTTTTTTTTTTTGAGACAGAGCCTCAAGCTGTCCCCCTGGGTAGAGTGCCGTGGCATTACAGCTCACAGCAACCTCCAACTCCTGGGCTCAAGCGAGTCTCCTGCCTCCGCCTCCCGAGTAGCTGGGACCACAGGCGCCCGCCACAACGCCCGGCTATTTTTTGGTTGCAGCCATCATTGTTGTTTGGCGGGCCCGGGCTGGGGATTCGAACCTGCCACCTTAGGTGTACGGGGCTGGCGCCTTAGCCGGTTGAGCTATAGGCGCCGAGCCAGAGTTGTTAAGATTAAGGGAGATAATTCAATAATGGGTTTAGCAGAGTATCTTGGGTCAGCAGCCAGTGAATAAAATTTGTACCTTTACTATTATTATAATCGGAAGTGGCTGGGCACAGTGGCTCACACCTGTAATCTTAGCACTCTGGGAGGCCAAAGAACTCAGGGGTTCAAGACCAGCCTGAGCAAGAGCGAGACTCTGTCTCTACTAAAAATAGAAAAATTAGCCGGGCATTGTGGCAGGTGCCTGTAGTCCTGGCTACTTGGGAGGCTGAAACAGGAGGATCCTTTGAACCCAAGAGTTTGAGGTTTCAGTGATCCATGAGGATGCCACTGCACTCTAGTCTCGATGACAGACCAAGACTGTATCTCAAAAAATGATAATAATGGGGAGTGAAAGCAGATCATTCAGAGATGCAACAAGGGAGTGTATCAATTAGTATGAATTAGGTTGTGTTGCAACGAACAACCCCCCCAGATCTCAGAGGCTTGGAGCACAAAGATTTATTTCTTGCTCATGCTCCACAGGCTTTGTGAATTAGCAGGAGGGATCTGCTCATGTTACTCAATGAGGGGTCCAAGCTGAGAAAGCAGGAACTATCTTGAATATTGCTGTTTGCTATTCTAAAGGGAGGGTAGGGAGTTCTGAACAGTCATACACTGCCATTAAATGCTCCAGCTTAGAAGTGACACAGATGATGCACATTGCTTCTACTCATAATTCATTTACCAGAATGAGCCACATGGCCCCATCTAACTAGGGGGAGGGAGTAGGAATGTCTCTCTTACCATGGCCCAAAAGGAAACATTCTCAAACAGCGCAAAAACCTGCCAGGAAAGGTAATGATAAATGTTTTCTCTTTTGTTTAGAAACATCTTTCTGAAAATATCGATTATTGGCATTCTTTGTTACTATTGGCTCAACATTGTGGCCCTGTCTGGTGAAGAGGTGAGATTTCCATGCTGTTCCATGCCTTAACTTTGGTTTCTCAGCCTATAGGACCACCAGGGAGGACATGAGTTTGTTGAGAGCCATTAATCCCTTGTGGGAAAAGAGACGGAAGCTAATCTGGAAAACACCATAAGGCAGAAGTGGTCTTAACAAAAAAATTCAGATTCTAGAGTCAAGGAGACCTGATTCAAAGGCCAGCTATGTAATCTGCAGTCACTTAATTGCTGCAAGCCTCAGTTTTCTCGTGTACAAAATGGGCATTAAACACTATCATGTGCAGTATAAGTCTAGTGCCCAGAATATGGTAGACATGCAGTAGCTGGTAGTAATGTTAATGCTAATCTGTTCAAACAGCCTTGGGTTTTGAACAAGATTCTCTTTGATCCTTGATGTTCTATTTTCCTCATTACTTGGATTTTATCCATCTGTAAGCACATACTGCTGCAAGTAACAGTCGTGTCCTAACCCTGGTTGATCCTGATCCTCCCTCACTTGATGACAGCTTCTCAGTCCTCCCTCACTGTAGGGGCTGGGTGCCTGACCACCTTTCCTGAGAGTGGTGTTCCATGTGGACTCAAGAACAGGCCAGCCTCCTGGGCTTCTCACTGGAATGCCCCTTCCCCTGCTACTGGGTCTCCCATGAGAATGGGCCTCCTCACACCAGCCATCCTCAGCTCATGGCCATTCTGAGCCTTCAGTTACACGGTGTGCCCTGTGGCTGGGAGGAGAGTCAGGGAAACGGTGGCCAGCTCACTGCCACTCTTTGTTCCTGGCCCCCCAAACATCCCTGCTATATCCAGACACAAACTATTTTGCATGAACTTGGCACCTTCAACTTTTCTCCCTAATTATTAAGGAGGTTCAAAAAGTAGCCCTCCATGTTATTTGGTTAGAGTTATTCTTCCATCCATCCGTTGATTGATCCATCCATTCATTTATCCATTTGTCCATCCACGCATTCATCCATCATTCAACCACTTATCCATCTACTCATCCATCCTTCCATCCTTGGGCTGTGCATCCAAAACTTCCCTTCCTTCTTCAGCCAAACCTAAAATCTCCCAGTCTATGAGCTGATAGCACTGACTTCTGCAAAGGTTATATAACCACCAGTTTATTTATTTATTTGTTTGTTTTTTGGGGATAGAGTCTTACCATGTAGCCCTCGGTAGAGTACAGTGGGGTCACAGCTCACAGCAACCTCCAACTCTTGGGCTTAAGTGATTCTCTTGCCTCAGCCTCCCAAGTAGCTGGGACTCCAGGTGGTCACCACAATGCCTGGCTGTATTTTTGTTTGTTTGTTTTGTTTTGTTTTTTGGTTGCAGTTGTTATTGTTGTTTGGCGGGCCCAGGCAGGATTTGAATCCGCCAGCTCTGGTGTATGTGGCTGGCACCCTAGCCAATGAGCTCAGGTGCTGAGCCTGTTTTTTTTGAAACAGAGTCTCACTGTGTCACCCTCAGTAGAGTGCTATAGTGTCACAGCTCACAGCAACCTCAAACTCTTGGGCTTAAGCGATTCTCTTGTCTCAGCCTCCCAAGTAGCTGGGACTACAGGCGCCTGCCACAACACCTGGCTATTTGTTGTTGTAGTTGTCATTGTTGTTTGGCAGGCTCGGGCTGGGTTTGAAACCACCAGCACTGGTGTATATGGCTAGTGCCCTAGCCCCTGAGCTACAGGCGCCCAGCCTTAACCGCCAGTTTTTAAACTAATTTAAACATTCAGTTTACAGTTGCCTGCTAAACCTCTGGGTAATTTTCTTAATTAAGCAGATATTAATTGCTTTTTTTTTTTTGTGAGGTCAATAAGCAAAAAGAGTGGAGGCATTCTTAGCCATCCTTAGCCGCCTGCTCTCTGGAAGAAACTGACTAGCCCTGGCTGAGAATCTGAATCCAGAGGGATAGGACGGAGATGAAACATTTTAAGGGGAGAGATCGCGAGAAGAGAAAGTTTTGATATTTGTGGAAGGTAATCCTTAATGAGAGGGAAGAATGAGGCAAAAAGAGAATAAGTACCCCTGAAAAGAAACTCAGCTACATTTCTGCAGAGAAGGGTCTACTTTTCTGGATACACAAGGACTCGGTCAAACTGAGCCTCCAGCCAGGTTCTGACAAGACGGGCGTTGAGCTGCTGCCGCAGCCCCTTCCAGCATCCTCACTCTTGTTTGCCTTCCAGTGTTGGGAAACTCTCATTGGACAGGAAATCTACCGGCTCCTTCTGATGGATTTCGTGTTCTCTTTAGCCGATTCTTTCCTGGGGGAGTTTCTGAGAAGGTAAATATTTGTCATTAGTGAGTAATTAGTACCTGGGTCCGTAACCAGAAGCTGATACTTGGCTGAGTGGGCAGTTCAGGTCCCTTATGTGATCAAAGTGTGCCCTGTTCTAAGTCTGCCTATCATCTTTGGGCTATTGTTCTCTTTCAAATTAATGAAAATTTCACCTTAACCTTACAGTCCTGTTGTCATAGTTCATTTGGTTTTCTTGACCCTTTACAATCTTCTTTTGCAAAAAATAAAAAGCCTTAAGGAATGAAAGACAAAAACTGAGCTAATTGAAATCTTATCTGTAGGATTAGATAATTTAGAATTCTAGTTTGTATTCCTCCAGAGTTTTATATGTACCCATTGCTGTGTGCAACTATACAGTATACTGATGTATAATTTTCCAAAACAAAAAACTGGTTCACACTGCAAAGTCGTTGTAGAGTTTGCTTTTATTATCGATCACTAAGCCTTGACATCTTCTCATGTCAGAACATATAGTTCATCTCATTGTTTTAATTTAATTTAATTAATGTGCTAATATTTATATTAGATAGCAGGTCTACAAAACTGAGGCACTGTCATCCTTGGCCCCTGTGTAGTTCTTTGTTATGTCAATACCACGATGAGCCTCTCATTCCTTGTAGACATTTGTGTATTTCCGAAATGTGCTGTGGTGATCAGATGTTATGACCCAATGTTGATTCTTACCTTTGTGGGTAGGATCAATGCCAAATTTCCTCAGTCGGTTCTACCAAAACACTTTTTTTTTCTTTTTTTTTTTTTTTTTTTGCAGTTTTTGGCCGGGGCTAGGTTTGAACCCACCACCTCTGGCATATGGGGGGCCGGCGCCCTACTCCTTTGAGCCATAAGTGCCACCCCTAAAACACACTTTTATGCCAGTTTCTGTCCATGGCCTAGAATAAAGGTGAAAAAAGTTTTTTGACAGAACTTTTTTATTGGTGACTCCTCTTTTATGAAGAAATTGATATGGTCTCAATCAAGTTGTCCAGAGTAAATGATTTCCTCCTTATGGATTTAGAAAACAGAAAAATATCATTCATTTGCTAGTAGTAGCCACAAATTTGAATTTTGAGTTCAGAGGTGCTGAATTTATCTGGTTTATGCAAAAAGGTTTAATAAGAAAAGAGGAGTATAAACAAATAATAGGTGGGATAGTTTAAATAATTAGGGTAACAAATGATCTCTAGAATTTTTTTAAACCACATTAGTGGTACCCCCACTGAAATATATTATGTTCAATCTATTTTCTCTCAATTCTCTCAACTAGTTCTTCAAAACTATGCTTATATACCTAGAACTTTTAAGTTTGCAAGGGATCTTATACAAGTTAATTCCAAACTGTGAGGGTCTCTTTTGTTGATTGTTTTAGTCTGGGGGGTTCTTGAAAGAGGTTTTGGTTTAGGCATGATTTGAGAACTCACCCCAGTATGTTTTCACAGAATCATTGGGATGAAGTTTATCGCAAATCTTGGCTTACAGGAGTTTGACATTGCCAGGAATGTTCTAGAACTGATCTATGCACAAACTCTGGTGTGGTAAGTTTTGTGACTCTGTGGGATACTTGGTAGTTCTGGCCTGACCATGGATTTGGCATTTTGGTGATAAGACTCCAAAATGTGTTGTTTTTAAAGTGATGTGGATGTTACCAAATCCAGCCAGTTTGAGAGCCATGAATATTTAGCATTTAGACTATTCTTTTCCCTAAAAAAAAGGGAGAAAAAGAAAAATCCAGATGCAGTGGCACATGCCTGTAGTCTCAGCTACTCGGGAGACTGGGACAGGAGGTTCACTTTCGTCCAGGAGTTCTGGGCTGTATTACACTATGCCAATCGGATGTCTGCACAGTTTGGCATCAATATGGTGACCTCCCTGGAGCTGGGGGGCCACCAGGTTGCCTAAGGAGAGATGAACTGGCCCAGGTCAGAAACAGAGCAGGTCAAAACTCCCATACCGATCAGTAGTGGGATAGCGCCTGTAAATAGCCACTACACTCCAGCCTGAGCAACATAGTAAGACCTCCATCTCCAAAAAAAAAAAGAATGAAAATAGACTATTCTTTTTCTTTGTGAAAACTTGAGGGCTTCAGAATCAGTATAAAGCAGAGATCTTAACTTGCAGACCCACAGGCCATGTCCCACCTACACGTGTGTTTTGCTTGTCCTATATGGTACTTTTCCTACAAATTTTAATTAACTACTACTGTAGTTAGAAAGTCTGTATGTCCCCTAAATTCATATGTTGAAACCTAACCCCCAATGTGATGGTATTAGGAGTTGGAATCTTTGAGAGGTGTTTTGGTTTTGGGTGGGGGATCCTTTATGAATGGGTTTAGTGTCCTAAATGAGGCATATGAGAAAACCTTTGCCCATTCCACATGTGAGGACACCTCACAGGCAGGAAGGCACCATGTATGAACCAGAAAGCAAGCCCTCACTAGACACAAATCTGCTGGCACCTTGATCTTGGACTTCCCAACCTCCAGAACTGTGAGAAATAAGTTTCTGTTCTTTATAAGTCACCCAGTTTATGGCATTTCATTATAGCCACCGAAATGGATGAGACAATCACTCATATTTAAGAATTAGGAGATTTCACATATAATTTAAATTTCTGGCTTCTCTCCAGAAAGATGTGGCCATCTCTCATCATCGTAATATTTGGCCAGGCCTTGATCTGGGGTGAGCATCTCTGGTTTGCCACAGTTTCCCCCTTGAACTATTGTCTTTCAGCACTGAGCTGCCATTTCTTGCTGCCTTTTGGTGTTAGTTTGGATGCAGACTTGACTTTGCTTCCATGTCTCAAGAGAAGTGAGAGAGTCAACAAAGGGCAAGAAGGCAGTGTGTTTCTATATTTGTCCTGCTCCACGGATGTGCCACCTGGTGGGGTCTCTAGTGGTCTTTGGGATTTAAGACTTCTGGTTTAGCAACTGTGTGTGTGTGTTGAGAATAGCCAGCTGGTTGCATGAATTTTTTTTATAAACTCATCTAAAAATCTCAAACCAATAGTCAGTGACTATTTTTCCTTTTTTTATTTTAGATTGATGGAATTAATACCAGACTCCTGGTGGTATATCACATTTCCAGGTTCCACCTGATGGTGGGGTGGGTAATTTGAAAGTAGTAGATTTGGAATTGGATAAACTTTGATTCTGGGGCTGGCTCTGACACTCACTGAGGTCACTGGGCTTCTCTGAGCCTCCATAAATGGAGCTATTGTATTATTACCCTGTGTTATATAATTTACCCACATTACTTTTTTTGGAATAAAGAACAATAGAAGTGGGCTTATAAGTGCTATATGACTGAGCAATTCTACTTCTGGGTATACATCCAGAAGCAGCGAAAGAAGGATCTGGAAGAGACATTTGCGTACCTATGTTCATAGCAGCATTATTCACAACAGTGAGAAGGTGGAAGCAACTCAAGTGTTCATGGACAAATGAGTGGATAGACAGAATGGGGTTTCAATCTCCTCACCTGTGAAATGCACATAATAAAGCTGCCTTTGGCCGGGCGAGGTGGTGCACGCCTGTAATCCTAGCACTCTGGGAGGCCAAGGCAGGTATGTTGCTTGAGCTCACGGGTTCGAGACCAGTCTGAGCAAGAGCAAGACTCTGTCTCTACTAAAAATACAAAAAACTGAGGCAAGAGGATTGCTTGAGCCCAAGAGTTGGAGGTTGCTTTGGGCTATGATGACTCCATGGCACTCTACTCAGGGCAATAGCTTGAGATTCTGTTTCAAAAAAAAGAAATAATAAAATAAAAATAAAAAATAATAGCTGCCTTTGAATTGTGTTGTGGATTAAATGCCATGATAGATGAAAGCTACTTTGCAAACTCCAATATGCCATATAACTGGAAAGTATTTTGTTTTCTGACTGTTTCAAGTTGATTTGAGTGATTTAGCTGTCTGCAAATAACTCAGTGTCAGTGACTTTATTTTTAGAGATAGTGAGGACTTCTCTCTGGTAGTTGAAGTGATGTATTTGCTCACAGCCAAGTCACCGCTGGTGATTTGGCAGCTTACAAAAGCCTTTTACCCACATTACTTCCACTATAATGCCTTGGGCCAACTTCCTGAAACTCTTCTCTAAAACTTAGTTTTCTAATCTTCAAATGGTGGAGATAAAAGCTCTTACAGGGTTGGGGAGAGGATTAAATATGAAAATATATACACTAAGGGCTTAGCATGTGCGTGACTGAGAAACATATAAATGGAGTTATTACAACTGTTGTTATTCTTACGAGCACTCTTTTTTAATTGTAGTAAAAAAAAATGCACAATGAGTATATTCACATGGTTGGGCAGCCATTCTCAGGGCTTTTTAATCTTGCAAAACTGAAACGCCATATCAGGCTACAATTCCTCATTTCCTCAGTGCAGGGCTAGAATGTCTTTTCTAGCCATTCCAGAGTTGTACACTCATCACCACAATCAATTTTACTTGCTCTAGGGGCAACTCCTAACACTTGCCAATTTCCCTTTTAAAAAAACAAAAAACAAAAAAAGAGTAGGCTTTGGGTTAAGATCCTCAACAGACAGCAGTCACACTGGGACCACACCATTTTACTTTCTTTTTTTCTTTTGAGACAGGAGCCTCAAGCTGTCCCCCCTGGATAGAGTGCTATGGCATCACAGCTCACAGCAACCTCCAACTCCTGGGCTCAAGCAAGTCTCCTGCCTCAGCCTCCCATGTAGCTGGGACCACAGGCACTCGCCACAAGGCTCAGCTATTTTTTGGTTGCAGCCGTCATTGTTGTTTAGCGGCCTGGACTGGATTTGAATCCACCACCTTGGGTATACGTGGCTGGTGCCTTAGCCACTTGAGCCACAGGAGCCAAGCCCCATTTTACTTTCTGTTTCTATGAGCCTAACTACTCTAGATGCCTCATATGGTCTTTCTTTCTTTCTTTCTTTCTTTTTTTTTTGAGACAGAGTCTTACTCCTCTGTCACCTATGCTAGAGTTCCATGGTCTCAGGTTAGCTCACAGCAACCTCAAACTCTTGAGTTCAATGATCCTCCTGCCTCAGCCTCTTGAATGACTACAAGTATGTGCCACCATGCCCAGCTAAATTTTTTTTTTTTTTCTGTTTTTAGTACAGACAGGGTCTTGCTCTTGCTCAGGCTGGTCTTGAACTCCCAAGTTCAAGTGATCCTCCCACCGTGGCCTCCTAGGGTGCTAGGCTTACAGGTGTGAGCCACCCAGTCAGCATTTTTCTTTTCTCCACTGGCTTATTTCACTTAGCGCAATGTCCTCAGTATTCATCCATGTTGTAGCATTCCCTTTCTAAGGCTGACCAATATTTCATTGTATGCATAGACCACATTTTATTTATCCACTCATTGGTCCATGGATGGTCGGGTTGCTTCTACCTTTCGACTGTTGCCAATAGTGCTGCCGTGATCGTGGGTGTGCAAGTATCTCTTCCACATCCCACCTGCAGTTCTCTCAGATATATAACCTAGAATTGCTTGATCATATGGTACTTATAAGCACTCTTAAGAGTTTTTTGGGTTTTTTTGTTTTTTATTATTTTACTTTATTTATTTTTGAGGCAGAGTCTCACTCTGTTGCCCCAAACTAGAACACTGTGGCATCAGCCTAGCTCACAGCAACCTCAAACTCCTGGGTTCAAGCAGTCTTCCTGCCTCAGCCTCCCAAGTAGCTGAGACTACAGGCTCCTGCCACAACACCCAGCTAATTTTTCTGGGTTTTTTTTTTTAATTAAGTCATTTGTACATAGATCATGAATACATTTATGCCATTGTGGGATTCAATGTGTTGATTATTCGTACAAATTGGAGTGCTTACAGCCTACTAATTAACATAGCCTTCACCTCATTTACCCAATTACAGTGTTAAGACATTTGTGTTCCTCACCTGATAGATCCAACTTGTACTTGCAATATGCTCCATAGGTGTAGTCCATTAACCCTCCCTAGCCCACTCCCCTCCCTTCCGCCCTCCCTTTCCCTCCTTCATCCTGGGCTATAGTTGTGATTCATCTTTCATATGAAAGTGTGAGTGATTATAAATTGGTTTCATAGTAACTTTTCTGTTTTTATTAAAGCCTAGTCTCACTCTTGCTCAGGTTCATCTCGAACTCCAGAGCTCAATCAATCCTCTCACGTTGGTCTCCCAGAGTGCTGGGATTACAGGCATAAGCTACTGTGCCTAGCCTGTTTTTTTGTTTTGTTTTATTTTTTTGAGCTAGAGACTCACTTTGTCACCCTTGGTAGAGTGCCATTGCGTCATAGTTCACAATAACCTCAAACTCCCAGCTATTTTTTTTTTTTTAGAGACAGGGGTCTCACTCAGGCTCAGGCTGGTCTTGAACTGTGAGCTCAGGGCAATCCACCCACCTTGGCCTCCCAGAGTTCTAGGATTATAGGCATAAACCATCTTGCCCAGGCCCTAGTTTTTTTTTTTTGTTTTTTTTTTTAAATAATGTGGACATTCTTTCTTCTTGGTGTAAAGGAAAAGGAGAAAAAACCAATTAAAAAAACTAAAATAATGTGGGTTAACTATAGGATACAGGGTAATGATAATACAGCCACATTTATTGAGACCTCACTGTGGCCAGGCATTTTTAATCCTAGATTCTGAGCTCTCATAATACTAATTATTTGATGAAAGATGCACAGAGAAAAATACAATAGAAATGACCATCATTACTTCTGGGCCTTTCAGGTTTTTGTTGATAAATTGTCAATAAGCACAACTGAAAACACACATCTTTTTTCACCATGGCAATTGCAGGTTTATCCTTTGTGGGTTGTAGGAGAATGTTGCCTTTGATGATTAAGTTTGAAAAGAATATGATAGAATGACAGAAAAGTAGTGTGTGTCAGGGATGACGCAGAGACAGGGTGGGGAACATGTTTTCCCAACTTAAGTCTTTTGCATAGCAGCCTGCCTATTTTTTGGCATAGCACCTGTATTTTTATCTACATAATATTTTCTTTTAAATTGCTTGCCTTTTAAAAATCACTCGAATACATTTTAAAAGAAGTTTTTATTTTACAATCATTAGTGGAAAACCAGTGCCATTTGGCAGAAATCACAAGTAACTGGAAAAATAAAAGCTATTCCATTTTAAATAGTCATTAGATTCTAGCTCGATTCTGCTGTGCGCTGAGGCTCTTGGTCCAAAGCCTACTCCTTTTTTTAAAAGATGGGAAATTGGCAAGTGTTAGGAGTTGAGGACATTCTCAGCCCTACACTGTGATTTTCTTATTTTGGTGCTCAGGAGCATTGAAGGAGACTTGGGAAGAAAAGGCTTTTCTCATTGGTAACTCATGCAGTTGAATGCTTTGTCCCAGCAGGCCCTCAGACCTTCCGGAATACGATGGGGCTGGAGAGAAATGGAAGGGGGTAGGGCAAGAGGGTATGTCCATGTCCCGTGCTTGGGACATGTTAGCTTTGGGCATGCTGAAGGCCATCTGTGGGTCTAGTGGCTGTGTGAGTGGTTTTTCAACAAAATCCTTTCCAGAGTGGGACTGAAGGCAGCTGTGGATATTGGGTGTGGCAGGAATTTGCCTGCTTTGCTGTGATAAGTCCCACCTCCTCCCAGTGTTATTTTGCTAGGGCCACCAGAACACAGTACCACAGATTGGGTGGCTTATAAAACACCCATTTATTTTCTCAATAGTTCTGGGAGTGGAAGTCCAAGGTCAAGGTGTTGGCAAGGCCAGTTTCTTTCTTTCTTTTCTTTCTTTCTTTCTTTCGTTCCTTCCTTCCTTCCTTCCTTCCTTCCTTCCTTCCTTCATTCTCTCTCTCTCTCTTTCTTTGTTTCTTTCTTTCTTTTGTTGTTGCAGTTGTCATTGTTCCTTTTTAGCTGACCCAGGCCAGGTTTGAACCTGCCAGCCTTGGTGTATGTGGCTGACACCATACCCCTTGTACTACGGACACCACTGCCCATTTCTTTTGAAGGCCACGAGGGAGGGCTCTGTCCCAGGCCTCTTACCTTGGCTTTTAGATATTCATCTTCTCCCCAGGACTCCACGTGGTCCTGCCTTTCTGTCTATGTTTGTGTCCTAATGTCTGTGTATGTCTGTGTCCTAATCTCTTTAAGGGACACTAGTTGTATTGGACTAGGGCCCACCATGGTGACCTCATTTTCCTTCAATCACCTCCAAAATACAGTTACATTGTAAGGTACTAAAGGTTAGGACTTTGACATATAGATTTTGGGAGAGACACGATCTAGGCCACCCCCACGCCCTGCTTTTACCCCCCCCCCACTTCCTTGTGTCTGCTCCGCCCTCTGACGCTTACCCTCTCTCCCTCACAGGATTGGAATCTTCTTCTGCCCTCTGCTGCCCTTTATCCAAATGATTACTCTTTTCATCATGTTTTATGCCAAAAATGTGAGTCAGTCTGATGTTGCAACCAGGTGGCTTTGCCCTGACGCATGTGACCTGGTGGCGGTTGGAGCAGAGAAGGGGACACAGGGAAGCTGGTGCCTGGGTAGGATTCCCTCTGGCCCCTCCTCTGGTCACACATGAGGGGTGGCTGCTTCTCTCTCTTCAGATCAGCCTGATGATGAACTTCCAGCCTCCGAGCAAGGCCTGGCGAGCCTCCCAGATGATGACTTTCTTCATCTTCCTGCTCTTTTTCCCGTCCTTCACTGGTGTCCTGTGCACCCTGGCCATCACCATTTGGAGGTAGGAGATGGTGACCCTGGGTGAGGGTTTAGAGACTGGGTGGGCATTTGTTTTAAGATGTAGGTTTTATTATGATTCAGGGATGGCGAGGCCAACAGATCAGGAGATGATTGCCCCCCAAAAGATAGTTTATTATAGTTCCTAAGAGGAGGAGGCTTCTCAGTGCCATGCAGGGCTTCACGGGACCACCAGGAGGCAGAGGGAACAAGGGAAAGAGGTGGGAGAGAGCCTTTGCTGTGGTTCCTGTGGTAAGGAATGGGGAAGGCAAGGGAAGAAGACTCAGTTCTACTAGTCTGAGTAATCTCAGCAGGCTCTGGGGTTCAGGGCCTGTCCTGAGCTGTCTGGCACCTGGCCCTGGGGTGATTAAGGCTAGAGAAGAGTAGCTTACAGTGTGAGAGCCTATAAGAGTAGGAGGTGGTTGGGGGTATGGGGTCTGGATTGATTGGTTTGCATATGAAAGGTGTGCTCTGCAGCCTACGAAGGACAGTTAGACCCTAAATGTCAAAACCCTGGGTGTTATGGCTTATACCTATAATCCTAGCACTCTGGGAGGCCCAGCCAGGTGGATTGCTTGAGCTCAGGAGTTGGAGAGCAGCCTGTGCTAGAGCAAGATCCAGGCTCTAAAAAGAATAGCCAAGTGTTATGGTGGGCGCCTATAGTCCCAGTTACTCAGGAGGCTGAGGCAAGAAGATTGCTTGAGTTCAAGAGTTGGAGGTTGCTACGAGCTATGATGCCATGGCACTCTACCAAGAGTGACAAAGTGAGACTCTGTCTCAAAAAAAAAAAAAAGAAAGAAAGAAAAGACTTGCTTGACACAGTGCTTAATCTGTTTCCTTGGTAACCATAGACACTAAAATCAAAGGAGGAGCTAGGCATAGTGGCTCACACCTATAATCCTAGCACTCTAGGAGGCTGAGGCAGGAGGATTCCTTGAGCTGAGGAGTTTGAGATCAGTCTCAGCAAGACCGAGACCTCATCTCTACTAAAAATAGAAAAATTAGTCAGGCACGTTGTGGCAGGCACCTGTAGTCCCCACCACTTGGGAGGCTGAGGCAGGAGGATCACTTGAACTGGGGAGTATGAGGTTGCTGTGAGCCATGAGGATGCCATGGCACTCTAGTTTGGAGCAACAGAGTGGAGCAAGAGTTGGAGCAAAAACTAGATAGGTAAATAAAATAAAGGGAGGGAACAAATCCTAGTTTGATCACCACCCATCAAAGTGCTATAGTCAGGAGTAGCTTCCTCACTTCTGCCAGGAACTGAAACTTCCCAGCCCCCACATCAACAACGGAGTTTCATTTCTGTTATATGAATGGCTGAGTGACCGGGCTCCCTCCTACCCATCTGGCCTCCTCTCCCTGCAGCTCTCTAGGTTCCAGACCCTCCACCACAGGCCCATTCCCTATAGTCAGGGTGCCCTGGGGGAAGTGCTCTCCCCTTGCTCGGCTGCCTTCTCTCCACTCTCCAGGTTCCCAGCTCCAAGGTCATCTTCAAATCTGACCTTCACAGCCCTCATGGTCAGTTGTCTGTCCCTACCACTGCTCTCTCTCAGGCCTGAGTTTCTTTCCTTCGTTCCATCCTTCATAATTAGAAACACCTTTATTTGAGGCTTTGTTTACTCATTACTTATCCATCTTTCCTGCTAGAATGTGTGTCCAGGAAGGCAGGGACTATGTCTTATTTAATATGGAACCCCCAGAGCCTGTCTAGAACAGAGCTTGGTAGAATAAACCTCTGTTAAATAAATGAATGAGCAAACTAATGGGTGAGTGAATGAACAAACCGAGGAGTTGATATTTAGGACCTATGGATCTGGAGCCATCAGGAACACAGGCAGCTTCAGAGAAGGCCGCTTTGCTTCACAGTGTCCTTGTTCCTCTTGGCCTACTACTCCCTTTTCTTTCTTCCTAACCAGTTCCTTGTCCTCTGCTCATTCACAACAACTGACCACACCTGATCCTCATTGCCAGCTGCAGCTTCTATAATTGACAGCCCTCCTCTTTGAATTTCTGAATTGAAGTTCCCAAGAAGGTAGTCTGATCACCCCAATTCATTTTTTAGAGCTAAGACATTGTCTGGCCTTTGGATTGGCCACTGTTGGATTAGGTGATGCCTCTGGTCCAAAAGCTGACCCTTGGAGTGTAAGTCACACCAGCAAGGCCGTGAGTGACAGCATTTCTGTTTTTCAAGGAGCATGTGGGTGGAACAGGCAAGAATTGCTATTTCTAAGTACAGAGCCCAGACTGGACACGTCAATTCTAAAATATACCTCTTTTACGTGGATGCGTGCGTATGAGGTCATCACATGGGTGGGGCAGGGCGGTTTGAACCAGACAAAGATGGAACCCAAGCTGGGCACTGGCAGTGCACACGGTTCTGTCGAGAGACAAAGATGGTAGTGAATGTACACTGGACATCAGTCACTGGTGATAACTTAAGTCGTCACGACATACTGGCTTGGATCAATGAGTCTCTGCAGCTGCATCTGACAAAGATGGAACAGTTGTGCTCAGGGGCTGTCTATTGTCAGCTTATGGACGTGCTGTTCCCTGGTTCCATTGCCTTGAAGAAAGTGAAATTCCTGGCTAAGCTAGAAGATGAGTATATCCAGAATTTCAAAGTACTATAAGCAGGTTTCAAGAGGATGGGAGTTGATAAAATCGTTCCTCTGGATAAATTAGTAAAAGGAAAGTTTCGGGACAATTGGGAATTTGTTCAGTTGTTTGAAAAGTTTTTGCATGCAAATTATGATGGAATAGCTGCCAGACAAGGTCAAGAAATTGCAGTGGCTTCCTTCTTTGGTACTTGAGGCCCACATAAACCAAAGGCTGGCCCTGACATGGTGGGAAGCAGTAGGGATGAGCAGGCAGCCGAGTTGATGGAGCAGGTCAGAGCATTGCAACTTGCCCTTGAAGACTTGGAGAAAAAGAGAGATTTCTACTTCAGAAAGCTAAGGGACATTGAATTGATTTGCCAGGAGAACAAGGGGGGAAATGACTTTGTATTGCAGAGGATAGCAGACATTGTCTATGACACACATGAAGGGTTTATGTTACTTACGAAGGAACAAGAAGAGTATTAACAGCCTGGACCAGCACTCCAAATCATATGCTTCATTGTAAAATATTCCCCTTTATTATTCTCAGGGGACTCACTGGTTTCTTTTCATAAACAAAAAGTACCTCTTCTTAAAGAGCACTTTACAGAAGTTTCACTCCTTTTTCATTAAGTTTGAGTAAGAAGCTTTTACCTTGTAGGGAGCCCTATTAACATCTAGTTGGTTCGCTTGGGGAGCAGAGAGGCTGTGCAGAACTCACCGTGTGGACCTAGGAGCAGAGAAGCTTCAGGGGGTTGCTATGTGGATCTGGGAGCAGAGAGGCTGCTGGGGGGCTCACCGTGTGAACCTGGGAGCAGAAAGGCTGCTGGGGTGGGAGGCTCACCATTGCATAGGACAAAGGTGTTATGTAATATGCTGAGGTCTACTACCTTAGAGAAATGTAAAGACTGAATTGAATTTTAAGCTAATGTGAAATCTTGGCAGAGAACACTGTAATAAATAAATGCCTTGGGAGCATATTTAAAATATGCTTCCATATTTCAAAGTATAAGATATAATCTGATAGGAGATTTTATGTATTTGATATTATATCTGGGAAGGAAGGGCTAAACCTCAGAATCTTTGGAAACTGGTGTCATAGGGTCTTACAGGGCTGCTCAAATCCTCACAGGCTCAGGTTTTGGCCCAAAAGGAAAGTTTATTTTATTTTTGAGACAGAGCCTCAAGCTGTCAACCTGGGTGATTTCACAGCAGCCTCTAACTCCTGGGCTCAAGTGAGTCTCCTGCCTGAGCCTCCCAAGTAGCTGGGACCACAGGTGCCCGCCACAATGCTCAGTTATTTTTTGGTTGCAGCCGTCATTGTTGTTGGGTGGCCCGGGCTAGATTCGAACCCGCCACCTTAGGTGTATGTGGCTGGCGTCTTAGCCACTTGAGCCACAGGTGCCAAGCCAAAAGGAAAGTTTAAAAAGTTGCTCTGTAAAGCCCCTTGGTGTCATCGAGCAATCGCAACCCTTCTAAGAAAGCAAGAGGCTTGGTTGCCTGGATGACTAGAGGGTGCGTTTCAGCACTGAGATGTTATGAGTTGAAGAGCTGGATTTTCATTCAGCATTTCTCTGATGACTTTTCCGATTATCCCTGAGATTTGTATGTATTATGTCTTTTTGGGAAATGAGGTGTTTTTTAATAGCAACTTTTGGGGACTTGCCCACATGCCTGGGATTTGAATGGGGGTTGCGTCCCATTTTACTGCTTTCTAGGTTTGTTCCCTTTGGCCACTGGGAGGCTCCTCTTTGGCTCTTTACAGTGTGTTGCTTACAGTTGAAATTGTAGCAGGCTGGTGATCACGCTGCAAGTTTTTCCCTGGGCTTCTGACAACAGGAATGATCAGTTACCCCGGGATCTGCAAGGGGGGATGTTTTCTGGGTCTGCTGCCCACAGCTCTCCACCATTAGCCAAATACTTTTCCAGTGCACTATTTTTTTTTTAATTTTTGAATGTTTTTTGCACTATTCTCTTTGGAGGTAAAATTCATTAGTGTGTTACTAAATGTGAATTTTATTTTGCAAAAAGTACAGCATCATGTATTAAAATATTTCCTTCCTTAACTCCCCTCCCCCCATTTTCTTTGCCCACAGCCTATTCAACCCTTTTGTTTGGCAGAATTCTGCAAAATGTCTTTCATCCACTACTGAGATTGTTCAGGCCCTATTGTATTTGCATCAATTTGTTTATGGTGGTTGTTTGTTTTAAAATGTGTGTAGAAAGCGAGTATTTTGTGATAAAATTGAGTAGTGGATGCTCTGGGTGGAATTCAGAGAAAAACCCAGATTCAGTGACTAACAATGCCAAAAAAACACAAGTGAGCAGCCATTGTTCAAATGGCAGTGGTGTTACTTCTCTTTTGTGGCCTTTTTAGACTTTTGTTGCCTTAAAATTCCATGTTATTGGGAACCCATTTTCTACCTGGTCTTTCTTGACAGGGTTTATAATTTTGTATTTGAAAAATAAAAATGAAGTAGTAACTATATCTGTGTCTTGCGCTAGAGATGTTTTCCCATCCTTATTTTACCAGATTGAAACCTTCAGTGGACTGTGGTCCGTTTCGGGGTCTGCCTTTCTTCATTCACTCCATCTACAGCTGGATCGACACCCTAAGGAAAAGACCTGGCTACCTGTGGGTGGTCTGGATCTATCAGAACCTCATTGGAAGCGTGCACTTCTTTTTCATCCTCACCCTCATTGTGCTGTAAGTGGGGCCCCTTGGAAGCTAGTTGGGGGGGGGAAAGCTAAGAGCTGGGGGTGGCACTTTATTAATATGAGATGTGGACAGCCCTAGAGATGTTTGGTTGGAAAGCAGAGGGCTGTTATGGGAGATTCTACATGTAAATAGGTTTTAATAAGTTACTTAACATCTTCTTGTCCTAGTTTTTTTTTTTCCCTGTATGAATATTTTTTTTCCTGAATATTTCCTATTCTATTCATTCTGTTTGTTCCACTTAAGAGAGGCTATGAGAATACCATGAAAAAATGGATATAAGAATGTTGAGGAAAATTATAGACAGGGTGCCAAAAAATGAATATGCATTTTCAGAAAGGAAAAAAACTGTTTTAAAATTGTAATACTCTAGCTGGGCCTCTCAGCTATATGGGAAGCTGAGGCAAGACAATCGCGTAAGCCCAAGAGTGTGAGGTTGCTGTGAGCTGTGATGCCATGGCACTCTACTAGGGGCGACATAGTGAGACTCTGTCTCAGAAAAAAAAAAAATTGTATTACTCAAGTCATGTTTAACTTCTGAAATTATAAGAGACAAAAGATACAAGATAACAAACATTATCAGTATATATTGCACATTACAATTTTACTTCATTTTTTGAGACAAAGTCTCACTTTGTCACCCTCTGTAGAGTGCGGTGGCATCTTAGCTCACAGCAACATCACACTCTTGGGCTAAAGCGATTGTCTTGCCTCAGCCTCCCAAGTAGCTGAGACTACAGGTGCCTGCCACAATGCCTGGCTATTTGTTTAGAGATGGGGTCTCGTTCTTGCTCAGGCTAATCTCAAACCTGTGAGCTTAAGCAATCTATCTGCCTTGGCCTCCCAAGTGCTGGGATTATAGGCAAGAGCCACTGTGCCTGACCTGAATATTACAATTTTAATACAGGTTTTTCCTTTCTTAAAGTGTATACATTTTTTTGGCAGCCTCTGTATATTGGATTCTTTCTGAGACTGTGCTATGTTAAAATGGTTTGGGCATTATTGATATGCTGGCTAGCATGGTTTAATTTTCAAATTAAAAAAGAACAGTCTTATGCCACTATTGCATGAAGCTGGAAACAAAAAGAGCAATGTCTGACTTCTTGTGAAAAAGTACATTTGCTAACACTGGGCACATTTTCCTGCCTGTCATAATTAGATGGTTGATATGTGACAGTCCCTGTTTAAAATCTTAGCCCTTACGGCATTTGAGATTGTAATTCCTCATGTCAAGAGACACAACTCAAAAACAAACTATTGGAGGCAGTTGATGTAGACCAGTGTTTTCAACCTTTTTCATCTCATGGCACACTTGAACCTATAGTCAAACTTCTGCAACACATTTAAATTATGTTGACCAAAAAAAAAAAAAAAGAGAGAGAGAGTACAAAAAAGAATATACTTACTGTGCTATAAAGTTCTTTCAAAAATAATTTAATTAATGATCTTTAAAAATTTCTGTGGCACACCCAAGATCCTCTTGCAGAGCACAGCTTGAAAATCACCGATGTAAACTGTAGAGCAACTCCTCGATTTTACAGATAAGAATGATGAGACTTATAAAGACAGGGTGACTTGCAAAGACAGGATGAGAGAGAGAGACTGCAGGGCCTCCGAGAGACAGAGGATACTGGAGCCTGGCTCTTCTGGCTCTAGGTCATGCTTTCCCTCCCAGATACCAGGCTGCCACTTGGCTCCCTAGAAAGATGAGTTCTGGTGTCTCACTCCTCCAAGCTCCTCCTAATTTACTGGGCCTGTGCATATCTCTCATAGCAACCAATTCTCAAACTCTCCAAACATCAACTGGGTATCAAGGAATTTAATTCAATTATGACACTACCTACCTGACCTAGCATTAGATCCCATGAATTAGAGGCTCAGTCCCACAAGACTGCCCCCACCTCAGATGCCAGTCCTAAGCTCTAGCATATCACCTATACTTCTGACCTACCAGCTATACGTGCAAGGGTTCTTATAACGCCCTTCTCATGTTTAATAATTTGCTGGAATGACTTACAGAACTCAGGAAGGCGTTTTACTATTGCTGGTTTCATAAAAAATGTACAACTTAGGAAGGACCAAATGGAAGACATGCCGAGGGCAAGGAGTGTGGGAAGGGGGTGGTGTGGAGCTTCCACGCCGTGATTGATTACATCATTGGCCACTAGTGAATCATTCAGTTTGCAGTCCCTCTGTTCTCCCAGAGGTCACAAGCGGGTACGGCTGAAAATACCAACCCTTTAATTATGCTTAAACATGCCTTGGGCTTCTGGTAACCAGCTCCTATCCTGAAGCTACCTAGGGGCCCCCAGCCACCAAGCATCTCATTAACATTCAGAAAGTCCAAGGGTTAGAGCTAGGGACAAAGACAAAATACTGCATATATGATATATTTATCACTGCAGCAGCTTGTCAAAAATGCTAAATCTTAGGCCCTACCCCAGACCTACTAAACCAAAATCTGTATTTGAACCAAACCCCAGGAAATGTATATCACATCAAAGTTGAGAACGGCAGTGTCCAGATTCACAAACTCTAGCTGCACATCAGAATCATGTATGTTTTTAAAATGCTGATATCTGGCCCCATGTCCCGAGATGCTCAGTTAATCGGTTGGAGGAGGGACCCTGGCATGGGTCTTATCTCCGTCTTCCAGGAGATTCTGTATGCAGGCAGGTTAAGGATTTCTCTACTATACATGACCTATAACTCACCCTGACACCTTTTCAAGAACATGTTTGGGCCAAAATCTATTTGTAAGCAAATATTTCTGTTCCTTTGAAGTTTCCCATTGAAATTCTACAACCCATGGACAAAAGTGTTTTTCATTCTTTTCTTCTCTTCCAGAATCATCACCTACCTTTACTGGCAGATCACTGAGGGGAGGAAGATTATGATCAGGCTGCTCCACGAACAGATCATCAATGTAAGTCGCACTGGACACTTCTGTTACCCTCTCCACTCTTTCTAGCACTTCCGAGGGAAATATTTAAACATTCTAAAATAGAACATTAGTACAGGCATATCCTTGTCACCCAGCCATTAACATGCGTATACTTTTATTTCACCTACATGATCTCTTCCCTACAACTCTGTTATTTTAAAGAAAGTCTTATGCTGTATACATTTTTAATCTCTTATAACTTTTGTATATATCTCTAGGAGATAATAACTTTTTTTTTTTTTTGAGACGGAGCCTCAAGCTGTCCCCCTGGGTAGAGTGCCATGGCATCACACTCACAGCAACCTCCAACTCCTGGGCTCAAGCGAGTCTCCTGCCTCAGCCTCCCAAGTAGCTGGGACTACAGGCGCCCACCACAACACCTGGCCATTTTTTGGTTGCAGCCATCATTGTTGTTTGGCGGGCCCAGCCTGGGGATTTGAACCTGCCACCTTAGGTGTATGTGGCTGGCGCCTTAGCCACTTGAGCCACAGAAGCCGAGCCGGAGATAATAACTTTTGAAAAATATAACCACAACATGGGCATGGTGGCTCATACCTGTAACGCTTTGGGAGCCCAAGGCAGGAGGATCACTTGAGGCCAAGAGGTTCAAGACCAGCCTGGGCAACATATTGAGAGCCTGTCTCTTCAAAAAATAGAAAAATTATCTGGGCATGGTAGCTAATTGAGTGAACCCAGGAGTTTGAAGTTGCTGTGAGCTATAATGACAGCACTGTACTCTGGCCTGGGCAGCAGAGTGAGATCCTATCTCAAACAAACAAACAAAAATAACCACAATATCATCATCACAGCAGGAAAAAAACTTAGTAATTCACTGTCATCTAAAATCCAGTCGAATGTTCAAATCTCCCTAATTGTGCCATTAAGTTTCTTTTTACAGTAGAGCTATTCAAATCAGAATTTGAAAAAGGTCATATGTTGCATTTGATTATAGACTTAATTTTCTTTTAATCCACAGCCCCCCTTTTCTTGCCTTTTTATTGTTGGAGAATGCAGGCTATTTGTTTTACGTATTTCCCATATTCTGCTTATATCTGATTTTCAACCCTGTGGTGGTATTTGGTATATTTCTTATTTCCTGTAAAGTGGTGATGAGAGCCAGAGACCCGATTCGATCCAAATCCAATTGTAGGCAGGCTTTGCAATGTCCTTCTGTGACACTGCCTGGAGACAGATAAGGTCCGGGTGTTACTTTCTCTGTGATATTAACAGTGATCAGCTGGTCCAAGCTCTTTTAGCGTGGTTCATCCATCTTAAGGCTCCCATAAGCCTTCTACCTAATGGATTTAGCAGCTTTTGTTTAGTAATGCCTAGAACATCCATTCATTTCCTTAAAAATTACAACATAGTCTACGATTCCTCTAGCATTTATAAGCAAGGATTTGTCTACCTAAAATAATTTTTGTGGCCGGGCGCCAAGGCTCACACCTGTAATCCCAGCAGTCTGGGAGGCCAAGGCAGGTGTATTGCCTGAGCTCATGAGTTTGAGACCAGCCTGAGCAAGAGTGAGACCCCCATCTTTAAAAAATAGAGACATGAATTCTTGTGTCTAAGAGCATGGGAAAGAAGCAGAAACCCCCATTGTATCTACTTGAGCCATTGGGGTTTCAGAGAATTTCAGTTTTTCTTTTGGAATGTAAAGTAAAGGCATAGATTAGTTATGCATTTTTCCCTTCAGAAATATCATCAATGTTTCTGATAGAGAGCTCTGGATGGTTTGGGAAGGTCTTATGAAGATTTCAGAACAGGAGGATTTGGTTTCAAAGCCTTGCATTGTAGGGGTATAGTGCTAAGTCAACTGGGGAAACCTTTGGATGGCATGATTTGAAGGTTCTACAGACATCAGCATAGATCTGCCTGCTTGGAGTCTTACCCAGACAATGGACCACAAAGCCAAGGACGTTATCTCCAAAAGAAACCAGAAAAAGAGGCTGGGAATAGGCTCTGCAATAATCCTTCTGAAAGTATAATCACTTACATCAAAAACACTTGGATGCTTGTTAAAAATGCAAATTCTGGCTCAGCGCCTGTGGCTCAAGTGGCTAAGGCGCCAGCCACATACACCTAAGGTGGAGGGTTTGAATCCAGTCTGGGCCCGCCAAACAACAATGATGGCTGCAACCATCATTGGAGGAGTCTCCTGCCTCCATTGTTGTGGAGGGCGCCTGTGGTCCCAGCTACTTGGGAGGTAGAGGCAGGAGACTCCTCTAACCCAGGAAGTTGGAGGTTGCTGTGAGCTGTGATGCCTCTGCACTCTACCCACGGGAAACAGGTTGAGGCTCTGTCTCAAAAAAAAGCAAATTCTTGCTGCCTGCTTCTCTCAACCAATACAGCAACAGATAACATTTGTTGTGTACTTACATGATGCTTGGCCTTGTGTTAAGTGATAAACAAAAATTCCTATCTAATTTTTAATCAACCTTTTCATTTCTTTCTTTTTGCAGTTTTTGCTGGGGCTGGGTTTGAACCCACCACCTCCAGCTTATGGGGCCGGCACCCTACTCCTTTGAGCCACAGGCGCTGCCCTCTTTTCATTTCTTTCTTTCTTTCTTTCTTTTTTTTGAGACAGAGTCTCACTATGTTGCCCTCGGTAGAGTGCTGTGGCATCACAGCTCACAGCAACCTCAGACTCTTGGGCTTAAGTGATTCTCTTGCCTCAGCTTCCTAAGTAGCTGGGACTACAGGCACTTGCCTGGCTATTTTTTTTTTTTTTTTGAGACAAGAGTTTCACTTACTAACCCAAGGGTGAAGTACAGTGAAGTCACAGCTCACAGCAACTTCCAACTCCATGGGCTTAGGCGATTCTCTTGCCTCCTGAGTAGCTGGGACTACAGGGGCCTGCTACAGGCCCGGCTATTTTTTTGTTGCAGTTTGGCTGGGGCTGGGTTTGAACCCACCACCCTCGGTATATGGGGCTGGCGCCCTACTCCCTGAGCCACAGGCACTGCCCATTCCTGGCTATTTTTTTGTTGTGGTTGTAATTGCTGTTTTAGCTGGATGGGCTGGGGTTTGAACCCACCAGCCTCTGTGTATGTGGCCTGCACCCTAGCCGCTGAGCTACAGGTGCTGCCAATCTTTTCATTTCTTTATCCTCCCATTTTAATATTAAAGAAACTGAGACTCACAGGGTGAAGCCGTCTGCCCTAAGTCACAGGACCAGTAAAGGATGGGATGTGAACCAGGCAACTCAAAAATTTGTGTTCTTAACTACAATGCGGTTTAGCCTCTAGATAAAAATCTATTAGGGATGGCCTGGGAGTCTGCAGTTTTGCACACTCTTCTAGGTAATTCTAATTTGCCCCAGAGTGTGAAAACACCCCCTAGTGGCCAGAGATTTCCAAACAAGCTGGTCACATCAAAGACAGTTCAGGGACTTAACACTTTAACTGCCATGTGAGTTGTGTTTAACTCATGCTAGTTTTGACCCTGGGGCCTTGTGACACATATACAATTCACATGTCTCTTGACCCAATAAAATACTGTGGTCCTGGCTGAGCAAGGTGGCTCGTGCCTGTGATCCTAGCACCCTGGGAGATTGAGGTAGGAAGATTACTTGAGATCAGGAGTTTGAGACCAACCTGAGGAATAGCAAGATGTCCCCTTGTATCTACCAAAAATAGAAAAAAAATTATCCAGGCATTGTGTCAGGTGCCTGTAGTCCCAGTTACTCAGGAGACTGAGGCAGGAGGATCACTTGAACCCAGGAGTTTGAAGTTGCCGTGAGCTAGGCTGATGCCATGGCACTCTAGCCTGGGCAACAGAGTGAGACTCTGCCTCAAAAATCCCCCTAAAAACAAAAGACATAACTAATGAACTCTAAATAAATCCTGTAATTAAAAGAAAAATCACCATGGCCCCAAGAGAAAAGAATTTTTTTTTCTAGTTTGGCAATTATTAGTGGGCACTAATTCCTTTTTTTTTTTTTTTTTTTTTTTTTT